ATATTTTGAATTAGTAAAAGAAAATAGTATGAGTTTAGGTAATAAATTATGATATAATTAAAAATTAATTTTAAATTTATCTTTTTTTAATCAAATATTTAGCATATATACTTTCATTTTTTATTTTATATATAATTAAACTTTTAAAAAAATTTCAATATTTTTTGCGAGACCTGGGCCCCTCCGGGCCCCCTCTAACTTCACCCCTGCTCAAGGGTGCATTTAGCATCCCATATTGTAATTTTAGGCTTGAGAGTTCAGGGTGCAAGAAGGGCTCTCCATATTGCAATTTTAGCATCCCTGAAAAACTATAGAAATAGGATGAACTTTCAAATTGTCCTTGCTGCCATGCTCCGGTTATGTACATAATGTCACTGCAGGTTCTTGGGAGCAAACCTTAATGCATAACATAACATAAAGAAGCATAAAAAGAAGCTTTCATTATTTAAAGCTTCAATGTTGTTTACTAAGAAATCAATCTTCAGTAAGTGTTGCTGAAGGTGAACTATGATACCAGTGTCGCAACAAGAATTTGTTCCATCTAGAAAGCACACTAATTAGCTTCTTAATTTCATGCAATTTAAGAAAAAATCAATCAATCAATATCCAAAACTCAAGTATTTCTGTCTGTCGCTGACATGACCATAAGAGAGAGGCTGTTCATGACTAAGACTGGAACAGGACATGGCAATAACTGACCTGCTTCCGTGTAATCCTTTGTATTTGTTGTGGCTTGTGAGTCTGTAGCATAACTGATGTCAACGAACAAATCTGCAAAAGCAAAATAATTATGGGAATTCCGAATGCTTTTGTTGACTTCATCACAAAGCTCTTACTCCTACTTTAATAACAATTTCTCTTTACACCACGACAAACTGATTCTGGCCTTTGAAGGCTTGATCGGTTTGGATAGTGTTCATGACCAGGACTGCGATACAGCATCGCAAGATGTAATTAGCGTCTCTATTGCTCTTTTGATGCATCAAAACGATTAGAATATAGCAAATATTGTCATATTGTAACAGCAGAGACATAGCATATGGGTGTCCTTGTACATCCTATTGACGTGTAAGACGAGCAAATTCTAGGTGCATTAGTATGACTATTAACTTTCATGAAGAAATTAATTTCCAACTCGACTTACAAAAAGACACTCGTTAACTTCGCTAATGTTTAATACTTAAAAAAGATCTTGCAGGCATACCATCGTTATGTATTAACGAAGAAGTTGCTTGTCCTCTTTTTCTTTACAATGCTCTCAGCAGAAGTATCCAGCCTCATATGTCCCTCCCTGTGTAAAGTGAATTAAGGCTCCTGTATAGTGAAGGTGAATTGTAAAGGAATTGGGCAGTCATCTAAAAATGTAATTTGGGATTAAAGTTGTCCTTTGGGCTGACTGACTTACTAGTGAAGCACATGCCATCAAAAAATGTAAGCAATTGTCCAGAAGGAACTTCCTCCTGATATCCTCCTCTGTCATAGAATTCTACATAACAGAAACTCAAAACATGCAAGTAAACTTAAATTGCAATGATTGTCAAGACCAAATAATAGAACAAAATATTTTGAAGCAGCTTTTAAGCAGAAATAACTCACAAATTTACTTTTTCTTCTGAAATACCAATATTGCTATTAATTTTGGGGAGAACAGACGGGCAGTAACAATGAGAAGCAAACGAGAAATCGGAAACCAGATTCTAGAAGTCAATTCTGCATCAATGCAACTGTTGCCAAAGAAATAGAGAAAATAAAATAATGAATTTTCTATTTCTTTTGTTGTTTCTAGCCAAAGCCGTAAGTTATGGCTACCATTATATTTATTAATATTATACAAAATTATTGAATTTTTATTTTAATTTAATTTTTAAAAGTAATTAATAATTAATGAAATAATTACTATTTATTATTTAACAAATTAATATTAATTTATAAACAATTATTTTTAAAAATTATAATTAATTGTTAAAAATAATGTACATGAATTACTAAAATTTTAATTAAATTAATAACTTTAATAAATTTAATAATGATAACAACCTCAGCCTAACTTTGAATGAGAAAATGTCCATAGATGGGATCCAAATCCATATATAATACGGACTTGAGTTTTGTCAGTATATCTAATCCATCCGTAGTGCCCATCCGATCCAATTAGTATTCCACTTACAGCCCTCAATAGTAAACCCTTCAATTTAGGCTCAACCAAATCCAAAACAGTTTTCTTCTTAAAAATTAAAAAACGCATCAAAGAGCAGCCCAACTAAACTAACAAGCTGGACTTTACGCTGGACCAAAAGATGGATTTTTATCCGTGGAATATAAAAAAGAACAAAGGAGAGAGAGGATCAGCACGTCTAAAATCGACAGGGACCACAAGCAGAGCTCTACAGCAATTTTGGCATTCGCGGAATACTAGGGTTTCGTTATCCTACTGCTATTCATAATCAATCTTCCAAATCCTGTCCAACATCGTCGTTTTCCTGTCTTCGATTTTCTCTATTGATATACCATCAAACTATGAGTGATCTACGCGAGCTTGTTCATGTAATCTCTATTGGATAGACCACTCGTCTTCTTTTCCTTCTCCCGAAACAGCATTGAATTGCAGCTGCTGCTTGTGATATCGAAGGCAGCGGAAGCAGGTCGGGATAATGGATGAGAGTCTTGAGACTAGGCGCTCTGTCCTTGCCAATCCATTAGGTAAATGATATATATTGGAGTTCTATTTTCGTTTCTTATATTTGGCAGAATATTACCATTATTTGAGTAATTGGTTCATAAAGAATGTACCTTTTTTCCTGATGAACGTAAAGAATGTAATTGTACAATGATACCTCAATCTAATCACATTTAGTAAGATGACTAAGAAATTAGATATGCACGCTCAATTATGAAGACTATGAGTACTTTTTCTCTTTTTTATTTTCATGTTGGGATTTTTTTTTTCTCATATGCTATCAAAAAAAATTCTTTTTATGGTGTATGCTGTGTCTTGTAAAATTTTATAACTTAGGAAATTGATTATGGTTGAATTCTACTATTTATTGATCCATCCATCTTTGCTTGTACCATTCTATCCATATCTTCTGTAGGGATCTTGTTTTGCATTCAGACAATACATTAATACATTTCCTTGTGAATGTCTTCTTGTCTATATAGCACAACTAGATCGATTTGTGCAATTTATTTGGAACATAGTTCAATCTAATGTTGTTATTCTTTTATGCTTCCCTTCAGAATTCGCATTTTTTTCCTTTTTTTTTTTTTTAACTTGCATTTTCACATTTATTTTCATGTTTCCGTAGCATCACTGGATTCCACTGCTCAGACAGGACATGGTGGTGATTGGCAAGAAGAGGTCTTTCTAAAGGTAAAGTATAATGTCATTTCAAGTAGATAAAATGTAAGAAATGGATTTAAGATGGGTTTGGGATGCAGGAAGGAATTCAGTTTTGAGACAGAAAGTAGCTAGAGTTTATTATTAGAACTGCCAAATATGAGTTCTGTGGAAACAAGATGAATTCCTTTGTCTTAAAAGAGGGTATCAAAGCTTACTTCTTCTAGCTAATCTGGGAGCAAAGTCATGTAACTTGTCCAAAGAAGCTTGCATGCAACCATAAGCAAGTAGTAGATATAAATTTTTTGCAAAATTCTTTTCATTATATTTATTTAAATTATTATATGCTGATGAAAGAAATTATAATTATTTTATAATGGGATGAAGATGTGATTGGTAATTTAATAAATTGAGTGGTAAGTGGTAACCATTCTTTCTTTCAATTTATGTTGCAGATCAAATCCATGAAGGATATGTACTTGGGTGAGTTAAACCACATGCACCAGAAGATCACTGCAAGGTTGGAGCAGGTAAGGTTGCCTCTTTGCGCAATTCCAAAGAGATTTCTAGGGCCACCTGATCTCTAACCCACTTTTATATTAAAAGAAAAAGTAGAAAATTAGTAATCAATGAATCAATGTAAGAGATTTAATTGACTCCTGTTTTGATTTGCTCGCTCCTGCAGCCAATGTTTAGTTTTTCTTAATTGTATAGATAAACTCTGGTAGTGGTTTGAGATCTACTTATGTGGTCTTAAGAGGATTCTATATTGTTGTTGGTTTTCCAGCCTGATTGTATCCAACAGTCAGAAAAGCTTGACAAGTTGAAAATATTCAAGGCCATGTTGGAACGTGTTATAGCTTTTTTATCAGTTTCCTCCAAAGAGAACATTACCCTCTCTACAAGGAAAAATTGGGCTCTTATAAGAAGCAAATAGTGAATTTTGTAACTTCAAATAGGCCCAGGAAACCTGCGCAGTAAGGACAACTTCCACTACCTCATATGCAAGCCATTCCACAGCCACAGTCTCAGGCCTCTCAAGTACAGTCTCATGATAATCAAACCAACCCTCAGTTGCAGCAGTCATTGAACATGCATTGGTCTATGCAAACAATGCAACACAACTTGTCAAATTTGCAGCTTAATTCTCTGACGTCTTTGCCTGGGGATTCATCCGCACAGCAGAGTATGTTAAGGTCACTGCAGCCAAGTTCGAACCTGGATTTGGATCAGGAAAACACTCTGGGTTGACTGCAGCAGGTTACCACAGGGTCTTTGCAACAAAATCCTGTTAGTGCTGCCCAACAAGCAAACTGTTGAAATAACTGAGACCAAGTCTTTTGAATTTGTTATGACAGTTATGTGTTAGCAGTTATCTTTATGTAATTTTGTGATTCACACTTCATGGTGCAGTAGTTTATTTTACAGTTAATTAACTTCCTTATGTTTCAGCAACTGACATCTATAAGTTGCTATTCTCTCAGAAGTCTGATGTATGTTTGATGCTGTGTTTTTCTGATCTATCAGAATACAGTTTATGTATTTCATTTCTCAAGTTCAATCCTTGAGTTTATATTTATTTTATGTTCATTTTCACTTAAGTTTTCATATTTACATTTCACAAACATTAACATCCCGTCATCACAAACTGGACTGAATGCTCAACAGTCAAATATGAATCCTCTTATTTCCTCAAAAAATAAATAAATAAATAAATAAAAATAAAAGAGGAAGAAGAAGAAAAGAATTCTCTTCAGTAAAATCGTAACATGCTCCAGCCTCAGCATCTGAAACAAGAACAGCCAGAAGGATCTTGCTTTAATTTAGTTTTTGAATTGTTTTAGAATTTGATTTTTAAATTTTTTTCATTTGCTTGAAAAAATAATTTGATTAACAAAAACATTACTTAATAAAAATGTTTGTATCATTATTCTGTTAATGATTTTAGCCTCTATTTACTGAATTTTATTTGTTTTGTCTTTCATATTATTTAATTTATTAGGATGAAAAAAGATAATTTCTAATAGGTAATTAAAAAAAAAAAGGAGAAAAGAAAAGAAAACACACATCAAAAAAACTTTTAAGAGATGCTTAACCAATAAAAATCAAATTAACTTAACACATAAAAAAGAACACATCATAGCATAGCGGATATCTTTTTCTTATGAAGTATAAATGTGACACGGATGGCGCAGAGGACACATTCTCGAACTCTTATGCAAAGCAGACCAAACCATACGGTATCACTGTTGTTGTAATTTTCCCATCTTTTTTCTCTACGCTTTTTTTTGGGGGGCGGGGGTACATGGGATGACCTCTCTACAATTTTCTACTCCCTCCCTCCCAACTTTTTTGCTTTTATTTTATAATTAAAGATTTAGGAATAGTTTATATATTTATTTATTTTATTTTAAAAAATTAAAATAAAAGATTTAATAAAATTAATAATTAAAATTAAGAAATAATCATGAATTTAAAGTAAACAAATTATTTCTTTTAAAAAAATAAAAAAAAAATTTTTTTTTAATAAATAGAGTGTTTCTTTTGTTGTTTATAGCACAAGTCGTATCACAAAATGCCCAAAGAGGAGATCAAGATCCATATATAATGCAGGCTTCAGTTTTGTCAGTTTATCTAATCCATCTACAATGTCCATCTGACTGCTTGAGTGCTTTCTACCAAAATAATGTTCTCAGTAATGCCCATTTGATCCAGTTTATATTTCCACTTACAGCCCACAATAGTTAATAGTCCACTTACAGTTCTCAATCTTCAATTTTGGCCCAACCAAACAGTTTTGTTTTTAAAAATTGCGTCAAGATTGGCCCAACTAAACTAACAAGGTGGTCTTTAGGTTCGACCAAAAGATGGATATTTAGGGCCTGAAGCCCATAACTGGAATACCTGCTGGACCATTCCTGAATATAAATTAGAGCCTCTGATGATGCGTTTATTTTCAGTGGCGTCTTCAGCGCTGTAAGTTGCGGATGCCGATTTCTCAGAGCTCGTTTGGCGTACGAGATCAACAGTATTATCCAATCTCATCCTATCTTGAGCTCCAAGCATGACCCCCAGGGCCTGAGATTCTGGCATTCGGTTTTTCTACCTATTGTCCCTACAGTTTTTTATATATTTGAAATTAAAATGGATTGATGTAGATGGATGTGATGATTTTTTTTCCGCAGATGATCGAAGCTGAACATATTGTGCAATTTTCTCCAACTTTGTTGGAGATCTAAGCCAGATTACTGATCCATCTTCTTCTAAATTACTTCAAGATCAACGTAATTTAGTTTGATTTTGCTCTAATTCTTGATTTTGTTAGCTCTGGAAGTTGAGTCTTTAGTTTGAGAAGCTTGATTTTTTCCCTCAAAGCGCTTCACTATCTTCGTTCCCATATGAAACTTTCCCTTGAAGCAAGGTTCATTGTGTTGCTTTCTCTATTATCTCTCCCTACACTCTTTTCTTGTTTCTTGGGAGAACACTGGAGCAACCATATTTGAAATCGATACCCCGAGTTTATAACTCTTGCTAATGAAATTTAGGTTTGAGATGGTTCTTGTGAGCAAACCTTAATGCATAAAAAGGCATGGAAAGCAAAGCAGCTTCAGTATTTAAAGCTTCAATATTCTATTCTTTAAAAGGGAATCAACTACGAACTTCAATATTCTTTAATATCAGTGTTGCAACAAGAAATTATTGAATTCAGAGTCTGGGACTCCCACTTACTTGGTCTATAAGAAAGCATGGTAATTAGCACCTTAATCTCATTCAAAGGATCAGTATCCATAATTCAAAAGTACTTCAATGTGGACATGACCAAAAGAGACTGTCCAGTGTTCATGACTAAGACTGCAGCAGGACATGGCAATTGGCAAGGAGTGATCTGTTTCCCTGTAATCCTTTGAGTTTGTTGTGGCTAGTGAATCTGTGGCATTACTGATGTTGAAGAACAAAGATGCTTCTGTCTGTAGTCTGTTCTGAGGAGAAGCACTCTAGTTGTTGCCATCCACCCATTTATCTGAAAAACGAGTTGTGAAAACTCCTGCATTACCAAGGTGAAATCATTAGGCACTACATTCCCTGAGCAGATAGAGTTTACTTAAAAAACATAAACCCAAAAACAACCAATTAATCTTTATTGCCATCTTTCTGCTTTGTGATTCTCATAACTAATAACTCAAGTCATTTCTTTCTTGCAACGTACCATATCAATGCTTTTGAAGTAACATCAGTAGTGATCATGGGAAACTTATGAGCAACCAGAAGGCAGAAGTCAAATCTGCAAAAACAAAATAATTATGAGAATTCAAAAAGCTTATGTAAACTTACAGCAATTGGGTTCAAGAATATAACTGTCATTGTTTTCCTACATGAAGGAACACACCTTGGTGAGAATTGATATCCTGCGGTTTGCATTTTCAGCTATGCATAAGCTGCAAAAAGGAAGTCCATATGCTACTCTTCTCTTGTCTGACCCTCGAATTGGTGAATTGCCATACAAATAGCAACATATTGGGACACCCCTCCTGCTGGGAGCAAAATTGAACACCTACAAAAACAACTTGTACAATTCAGATTCAAGCAGGCAACAAACTAAGGTATATCATGAGTCTTCTCAAAAGTGGAGGCATGGCGCCTAATTAAGACTTACAAAAGATAAAGCAACCATACCAGAATCATCTTTCACTGGATTAAAGCTGCTTTCGTCCTTTCCTCCAGCTATTGTTTATTTATTTGATGATGACCTGTTAAGAGTTGAAGTCAATGACCAATGCAAAATAATTACTCAAGTTGCATTCAATTGATAGTTAACTTAATATAGATGAAATTAAAAAAAAAAAAATTACTTTGGGATTGAAGCTATATATAAGGCTGATCAGCTTACCATTAAAGCCGAGCTATCAAAAACAATATCACAAATCAAAGATGCCTTGATGTACTCATGAGCTAACTTAAGCAAACCTGGTTATAGCTGCACCAAGCGAAATTGAGCATCCCCGAGAACTCGCTGTATGATCCAAATTTTTGAAGAACTTGAGTTAATTTTTATCATAACACCTTGCTAAGTGTTAACTTAAAATACTACATGCTAGAAATGCAATGCCATAATACTTAATAGACTCATAAAAGATAGAGAAAGAATACCAGAGTGATCATCTTTCACTTGTTGAAGCTACTTTCCACCCATTCCTCTGCTATAACTTGCTTATTGGATGAGTATCTCTTACGTGTTTTAAGCCAAATGACATAAAAGTGTACTGACATATACTATACACACAGACAGGCATGCACAGGTATAATAGCCAAACTATAATTTACTAGAAAGTAGGAATAGTCCTCACCGTCTTTAGTGTTTTTCATTGTCCCACAAAAATTAAAACAAATGATGACACATACACGGTATCATAACTATAATCTACAAGCAGAGAAGTCCAGAAAAGAAATGTCATAAATGAAACAAAAGCTGGAATACAAAGATTTCCCCAAAGTTGCCCGGAGCTTTGCTCACCACCCAAATGAAGGTTCTAGCAGAAGATCATAAAAGCATACAAATCTACCACCACAACCCACTGAAAACAGGAATTTTAACAAAATAATAGCAAGGATATAGCTAAAATTCACAAAGCCAGCACAATCTCAATTAAACAAACTAGTAAAAAAAAAAAAAAAAGAAGCAACAGATTGATCATTACTGATAAAGAAAAGGAAAATGAAAACGAGAACTGACCATCTTGGAACTGAAACTGAGAACCCTAAACTCATCCAAGGAGAAGGACAGAGAGACAGTTCAAGAGAGAAGCTGAAAGTTGATCCCTTTCTCTCTTTAAAACTCTCCCTTCAGAACTAGAGAGGATTTGGAAGGGATAATTTCAGCCTTTCAGGTGGGTTCTGCAAAACACGGTCCGAGCAGATTGTTTTTGAGGATATATATTTTTTTAATTATCATTTTTATTTATTTAGTTTATGTTAAACGGCGCCGTTGTGCTCTGGAAGATATCCGAAAAACCCCGCGTAAAATTTCGTTCCTTTCTCTCTGCAAAATCCAAAACCATAGCTTCAAGCTTCAGCTTCGATTTGAGTATCTGGGTTTTTGTAACAGTTCCAAATGAGACGAACCATAGGAAGATCCTTGCAAATTTCCAGCAATCACTACAATGGATCGCTGATCCAAACCCCTTTTCTACTCCAATCATCATCCCTTTCTTCCTTGCTACTCTTTCTATGATTTGAGCATCTCTTTCTTCCTTTGTTTCCCCCGTCAGGTAGTCTCAAATTCGGTCTGGTCGTGGCCGGGTCGCCAGCGAATCATCTGCTGCTGATTAGTCGTCACTACTTGGGGAATCCAAGCAACCTACTTTCATCCCGAAAAAGGATGTCGATGGTTTTGATTCCGCCATTGAATCAGCGGCGAAGCCCAAACCCACTCAGTCGAGTGAAACTAATTTCCCCTCTAGCATACTCTCAGTTTTACCCGGAGCTGGACGAGGGAAACCTTTGAAGCAACCTGATCCTGCAGCGCAAGTCAAGGAAGAAAACCGTCATCTTCGGGTCCGGCAGCAGCCTTCCGGTTCTGTACCTGCCGCAGACCCATCCCCAGCTCAGCCTAAGTTGAGCCAGGAAGAAGCTGTGAAGAGGGCAATGGGAATCCTTTCGCGTGGAGATGATGGCGAGGATGCTAGTGGGATGGTGAGAGCAAGAGCGGAAAGGGATAGAGAAAGGGGAATGGGAAGGGGAAGCGGAAGAGGGAGGGGACGGAGTAGAGGAGAGAGACGGATTGTAATGGACAGGTACTCTGAGGAAGCAGACGATACATATGCCGGTGAAGAAGCAGATGAAGAAAAGTTGATACAAGAGATTGGACGTAAAAACGTGAACAGAATTGTTGATGGGTTTTTGGACGCAAGCAGTAGGGTCGTGCATTCGCCTTTGGATGATGCATATCTGGACGCCTTCCACGCTAATTGCTTGGTAAGTGTTTCATTATCTCTTTTCCATCGCTTGTTTTAGGATTGAATGATACAAAATTCATTTTTCTCTTCCTTTCTTTTCCTTTTTATTTTCATAAATTTTTTTTTTTTTTCATTTAAAGGTCTTAACAGCACAATGCACCATTTCTGTCATTCATATATCTTCAGGTTGTATGACTTTTTTACTAATGTGTTTTGTTGCTAACTTGCTATGCTATGTATAGCTTATGAAGTTGATGCAGTGAATCATTAATTTGTTATTGAGAATGGTTGGGCTCTGTATGTGTTTGCCATTGCCATTTGATAGTTGGATTTTCCTTTGGCATGTTCTTAACGGATAGAATGAAAATCTGTTTTCAGTGCTGCATGAGTCACCCTTTTGGTTGAAAATTCTATTATCTTTTACTTGGCATATCGAGGTGTTTTTAGAAAGTTGTTTAAGTCATTAATAGTGTGTTTGACGGAGGATTGCTGGATAGAATAAAATTTGCATATTTGGTTATTTAAAAAAAAAAATTTCCATCATTCATGTGTAATGCAAAATTTCTGCTGACAGGAAGAAAAAATAAAGTAAATTTTTTCATGAAAAGTAATAAAAGAAACCCATATTCACTCAAAAAGAGGTGGGTCAAGAGATCTTAATTAGATGACGCATACCTGACCATTAGGCTTGATTTGGCTTACATTGAGTTTAACTTCTAATATAGTTTTGTAGGTATTGTATTATCAAAGTTTTTTTTTTTTTTTCCCTCTTTTTTTGAGTTTAGCTGGGGTTGAGGGTCTAGTTGATCAGTTTGTTGAGGTCTTAAACTTTTGGTTTGCATATTGAGTGTGAGCCAGAGTCTTTGATGGGAGATTTTGGCACAAACCCAGATATTGATGATAAACCGCCAATTCCTCTTTGCGATGCACTTGAGAAGGCAAAGCCCTTCCTGATGGCATATGAAGGAATTCAAAGTCAAGAAGAATGGGAGGTATATGCTGTTGCATTTGAAATATGGTTAATAGATTTTATCCTCAAAGTTGACTTTTTTGTATTCCTAGGATTTTGAACAGTGTTTGATGTGTCTTTTCTTGAATATCATCTTTTGCTGCAAATATGCAAGAGTTTAAATGCTCCGGTTAAGCTAGTTAATCCCACATGTCTTATAGTGTTGGCTAAATGCACAGGGTAGGAGAAATTAATTATAAAAAATTAATAATAATAATAGGAAAAAAAAATAATGGGAAACGTTGTATCAAAAACCTGCAAAGGTATGCACAAAATGCTATTGAAATAATTGGGATATTTTGACTTGTGTAAAATTAGGAAGACTATTTTATTTTATTGAAATCTCAATTTTTGTTAGCTGACATATTGGCTTGATTCTTCTTCTGTGCCTTCTGTACAATGAAATCTTGCCTCATACTGGTAAGACTTCTCAGTGTGGCTGTCAAAACTTTATTTAAATTACATGATACAATAGAGACCATATTAACAATGTAATGAGCAAGGAACCGATGTATCTAATCAGGTTGAACTACAATTGAATACTTTAATGAGTTAAACAATTATGCTGAACCATTTTAGAATTGGTATTATGGTTTTTTTTTTTTTTTTCCCAATAATGATTTTAGTAATATCATTTGAGTTAGAAGTTGTTTGGTGTTTTCTTTTGTTGAACATTTGGTTTTCAGGAAGCTGTCAAAGAAGTGATGGAGAGGGTCCCGTTATGGGAAAAGGTTATTGATCAGTGCTGTGGACCTGATAGGATTACAGCAAAGAAACAGCAAGAGGAGATAGAAAGAGTTGCGAAAACTATTCCTAACAGTGCGCCAGCTTCTGTGAAGCGATTTGCTAATCGTGCAGTTCTTTCCCTGCAGGTCATTATTCACTCTCATCTTTCTTTCCGATCTCGATCTTGAAGTTGCTTTATGTACCGGTAAAATTGTGATGGTCTACATGAAATGTTTACCATCTCCTGTTAACATTACAAGGCAGAGCAACCCTGGTTGGGGATTTGACAAGAAATTACAACTTATAGATAAGCTTGCCCGGGAGGTCTCTCAACAACACAGTTGAAGTTGGAAGGCTTGTTTCTGATGATGATGTCATGATTACTGAGATCTTTTTCTGGAATCAATATATGTTGATTCAATCTTCATTTGAAAAATAATCTGATATGCAAAATGTTTTTCAAAAAATTTTTGGAGCTATGTTCTATAATTGACTGTTGGAATAAACTCCATAAGCAGGTCTTATGCCTTTTCCATGCAACGGTACTTCGTGCAGCTTTTCATCTCCATATGCAGCAAAACACCATCTTTCAATAGAAAACGATCATATGTTTGACATATATATAGTATGAGTTTAGCAAACAGCAACCACAGAAAAATACATAAAAGATGTTAAGCATAACTACATCATGAGACGAGAGACTTTCTATGGAATGAACTTTCTCATTGTCCTCGGTGGCAAACTCTGGCTTTGTACACATCACTGAAGGTTCTTTTGGGCAAACCTTAATGCATAAAGAAGCATAGATGGCAGCTTCAACGTTGTTGATAAGGAAGCCAATCTGAATCTGAGTATCATCTGTCCCGTGTTGCCAAAGGTGAATTATAATACCATTGTTGCAACAAGAACTTATTCGATCCAAAATCCATTTGGTCTATCAGAAAGCATGAAAATTAGCACCTTAATTTTCTTGCTATCTATGAATCAATATCCAAAACACAAGCATTTCTATCTGTTGTGGACATGACCATAGGAGACAGGTGTTTAAGGACATGGCAAGAAGTGATCTACATCCTTGTAATCCTTTGTATTTGCTGTGGCTTGTGTGAATCGGTAGCATAACATCAAACAAAGATGCTTCTGTCTGCAATTTTAGCAGCACTCTGATTGTTGCCATCCATCCGCTTATCTGCAGAACAAGTTATAAAGATCCTGCATTGCCAAGGGAAAATCATTAGTGACCGCACTCTCCTGAGCAGACACAGTTTTTCATTGAAAAAAACGTAGACCCAAAAACAAACAAATAATCTCTTAATTGCAATCACTCTGATTTATGAATCTAGTAACTAATAACTAAAGTCATTTCTCTCTTGTGACTTACCATATGGACACTTTTGAAGGAACATCAGTGGTGATTATGGGAAACATACAAGCAACCACACGGCAGAAATCAAATCTGCAAAAACAAATGGTGGTAAATGAGTACAAAAACATCAAAAATGAAACAAAAGCTTGAATACAAAATCCCCGGGAGAGAATCGCAAACAACTTCAGATTCCTTTTTTAAGACTGAAACCTCAGGTTTTTCAGAATACAAGATGCAAAATAGTTTGGTTAGTGCCTGCAAACTGCAACCATAAAATGCATTTGAGTAGTTTATATTGTTATGCAACCTTCACTTCACGAGAACACATGGAAAACATTTAAAAGGTGCTTAACCAACAAGAATCAAATAAACTTAATTTGTTATGGTGACATACCTACATTGGGATCCCTCTTTTGGAGGACGAAGGGTTGTGATAATTTGAAAAAAGACAGCTATGCACAAACAAGAGACAACATACTGAAATCAAACCCACACGGCTACAGCTGATACCAGAGAAGATAAATAATAATAATAATAATAATAATAATAATAATGAGAGGATAATTAAACAGTTGTCCTAGGAAATGAAAATTTAAAAGTAGCAGTGTAGAAATGGCATACGCATTTAGAATGAATTTTAACATCAATGGTCTAAGCTCAGAATCAATTATATTGAAAATTAGTTGGTTTTCAAAGAATTAGCAAGGCAATTAAGAAATGACACATTGAACATTCTCCCAAATCCAAAATTATCCAAAACTGAGCCCCTCAAAGAACAGACTGCATGTTCCTGTGTAAGATCTTTTTTCTTTTCTTTTTTTTTTATCATAAGACATGGTGACATGCAAAACCAAAATGCTTAAAAGTTAAAACCCATAAAAGATCTAGCAAGCATACCATAATTGTCTTTGGCTTGGCAAACACTGCTGCTTTCATTCCTCTCTTACTGCAGTCTTTGGTGGAATATTAGATGAAATTTCAAAAAGCTTGAAATGTAGCAGTCCATTTCCATGTTCCAAGTCTCCAGCATAATCAGTGGAAAATGGCAAAGAAGCCGAAGCAATTTGAGAGGAAGCAAAATCCACTTGTCCTTGAACACTCTTCAATGTAATAGACGAGTCAAGACAGTACAACAAATGCAGAACAATTGGTCAATACCCAAGTATATCATAGCAAAATTAGGAGCTAACTATTAAGAATTTGGTTTCGTATATTACCTGTTACGGTTTTCCAATTTGGCCGATAAGTTAGATGGAATATGAAAGTCCAAAAGCTACACTGCAACTGGCATTCTCCTTAATTGGTTGGTTTTCAAGGAAATAGCAGATTAATTAAGGAACACCCCTTCCAGCTGAGAGCAAAAACTGAACTCCTTCCCAAAAAAAACCTGTATGATGCAAATTTTAAAGAAGATAAGAGTCGTAGTTTAGCATAAAACAACACTCCAATCATTGAAGGGAGGGCAAGATTTTAACCTAGTCTGGCAAAGATTCCAGTCCAGGGAAATTAGTAACCGGAGAAGTACAGTTGTGAGAAAAAGAAAGACGAACCTCTTCGCCTCAGTCTTGGGATTGGATGGGATATATATCGCAGTATGGAATGTGAGATATCTTGGGCCAGTCAGGACCGCTTCCCTCGGTGCATCTTTCCTTTAACTTGTTTGGGCAGTCCGTAATATAAAGTCGTCGAAGGGAGGACAAGTTGTTAAACCAGTCTGGCAAAGATTCCATTCCACTGAATTTGAATATATTCAACTCCTCCAAAGCAGTGAGGTGTTGAATTTGTGGGAGGTGAGTTAGTTTTCCCCATCCCCTTAGGGTCAAATCTTCAAGGGAGGCGGGGATGGAACTCAGACTTGGGAATTCTTCCAGCTCTTCTGAGAAACGGCCGATCTCTAACCTCTTCAACCTAGTACAGCAGCCGAGACTCTCCTTTAGGAAGCCCACCGAGTTTGGACAACCTACAACGGTTAGAGAATGCAATTCCTTCAACTCTGCTTGAAAAGAGACCAGATTAGGGCAATTTTTAAAGCTGAGTTTCTCAAGACAATAAAGGTTTCCCAATAAAGCATCTTTCACTCCATTGAACCGTTCGATAGTTAAGTCCCTCAAAGCAGTGAGGTGTTGAATTTGATGTGGCAGAGTTACATTTCCCCATCCAGACAAAACCAAGACTTCAAGGGAGACCGAAGTGGAACTCAAATCTGGGAATTTCTCCAGCTCTTTTGAGAAAAAGCCAAGCCTTAACGTCCTCAAGCTGGCAAGAGAGCCCAAGATCTTCTTTGGGAAGCTCCTCAATTTTCGACAATACCAAATGTGCAACTGAACAAGAGAGCGTAACTGTTTCAATTTTTTTGGAATAGAGACCAAATTAGAGCAACTCTGTACCGCCAATTTCTCCAGAGCGGTGCACGACGAGAGTCCTTTCGGTAGGTACTTTAATTTATCACACTGACCCACCTCTACTGTTTTAAGAGAGACAAATCCTTCTAAACTTGGAATAAACTTCAGTTTTGAACAATGCAAAATTTTCAATTTAACAAGGGACCGTAACTGTTTCAATTCTTCAGGAATAGAAAACAAATTAAAGCATTCGCCTATCTCCAATTCCTCCAAAGCAGTAGCAGTGCAGGATGAGAGACCACTCACAGTGCAGGATGAGAGACCACTCGGTCGATGCTCTAATTCATTACAACCATAAACAACTACATTTTTCAGAGAGACAAGTCCTTCCAGACTTGGAATAAACTTTAATTTTGGACAAAACCAAATAGCCAACTTAACAAGAGATTTTAACTGTTTCAATTCTCTAGGAATAGAAACCAAATTAGAGCATTTCTGTATCTTCAATTCCTCTAGAGCAGTGCAAGATGAGAGCCCACTCGGTATACACTCTAATTCATTACAATTGTAAACAAATACCTCTTTTAGAGAGATAGATCCTTCTAGACTTGGAATAGACTTCAATTTTGGACACATCTGAATATGCAACTCAACAAGAGACCGTAACTCTTTCAATTCTTCAAGAACAGAAACCAAATTAGAGCAATTTCGTATGTCCAATACCTCCAAAGTAGTGCAAGATGAAGGCTCACTCGATAGATGCTGTAATTCATCACAATCATTAACATCTACTGTTTTCAGAGAGACAAGCCCTTTTAGACTTGGAATAGATTGCAATTTGGGACACCTTTTCAGACATAATCGTTTGAGACATGTGAAGCTTGATAGGTTATCACCTATGCTATTTATCACCTTGCAATCCCAAATCTCGAGTTCCTCCAGAGATGATAATCTACCAACCAAAACTCCTTCTTCTAACTTACCACACCTGGATATGGATAATTGTTTGAGAGACGTAGATGCTCCATCACCATCATCAGCACCCAAACTTGTTAATTCATCACAGTCGTAAACATGAAGCCGCTGAAGAGATAAAAGCCTATTGATATCTGGAATTTCCTGAAGCATCTTGCAACTGATAATTACCAAATCCACCAAATTGTTGAGTGACGACATCCATGGTGCCAAGTTTCCACCTCCATAGAAAGCAATACGCAATCTTCTCATATTTGAGGGGGGTTGGAGGCCTTCTAAGACTTTACCTTCATCTTGATTGCCTTTGCCTTCCGACCAACAAAGTTCCAAATGCTCAACTGCCTTGTCTTTTAACTTTGCTTTCTCTGCTTCCGATTTGCTTGTAACAAGCTCAAGCTTATGGATCTCTAGTCTTCCTTTGAGTTCTCGTAAGCTTCCCAATTCTTCAATTTTACGTCCTCCTGTTGCACCTACAAAAAACAATGGCAATGTTTGCAGGCTGGCTAGTCTCCCAAGGTTTGCAGGCATACGCTCTTCATCACTGAAATAAATATGACTCAAGTTGATCAAATCTCCTATTCCTCTTGGGGGCATTTTTAGAGATTTACAGTTCATGAATCTAAATGTCTGCAAATTGTATAGCTTGGTGATGAACTTGGGCAGTTCTTCCATTTGAGTTCCTGAAATGTCCAAGTACCTCAAGCTCTTCGAGTTTTCAAAGCATGTTGGCAATTGTTTTGCATCAGAAGCATCACAAAAACTGAGCACCCGTAATCTTTTGAATTTTGTTGCACCCCTACCCCAAGAAAAACCATGATTTGAAAACAACGTGCATACTTTTGAAGCTACATCTCCTAGGTTGTTTGGCACACCATGAATGAGATTCAAACGCTGAACTTGATCAGAAATTGAAACTTCAGACCTAGAACCAGAAACATTGCTCCCAGATCCACCATTGAAAATCATCGTCTCAAATTTTGAAACTGATTTTACAAGATCATGAATTAAATCATGCATTTTACAAGATTTAACATTCCCCAAATCATCTCTTTCTTCCTCAAGAAATAGAGAATATGATAACAAGTCGTTGAAGTACTTGGTACCCACATCCTCCACAGAATTTCCCATAGATGGCTGGAGATATCCTTCAGCCATCCAAAGCTGAATTAAAACATCCCTTTTCATGACAAAAGCCCTGGGAAAAATTGAACAGAATGCAAAACACCGCTTCAAAGCTAGTTTTGGCAACTGATCAAAACTCAATTGTAAAGCATGCATGATCCTACCAGGCTGATCTTCAAGTGAACTCAATGCACCCATCTTACTTTCAACTGACGACCAGTCACCTCTATCCCTATTATTGCACAAACTCCCTCCTAAAACAGCTGCAGCTAACGGGGAACCTCCACATTTTTCACCTATTTTCTTCCCAATTTTTTCCAATCCTTTATCTATAAAAGCATTTCCTGCTCTCTCCTTGATTATATCCCAACACGCATCACCTTCTAGCTGCCCAAGATGAAGCACGTGTTCTTTCCGTGTTCTCATTGTTGATACAACTTTTGCACTTCGAGTTGTCACAACAACTCTCTTGCCTAGGTTTTCACGTATTGACAACAAACGTCGACTTAGTTCATCCCACTGTTCCCACTCCTCATTCCAAACATCATCTAGAATCAAAAGATAGCTTTTCCTCTTTTTCTCCCTCTTCTCCCCCTCTTTCCCCTCACTCTCCCTCTTCTCCCCCTCTGTCCCCTCACTCTCCCTCTTCTCCCTCTCTTCCTCCTCTTTCTCCATTTTCTCCAACGCTCCACTTGTTTCCTTAACTAGAGTGTCTATATCATTTTTTAATGTACAAGGAGTTCTGGTAAGAGACTCCAACATTTCCCCTAAAATCCTCTCCACATCAAAATTTACAGACACGGAAACCCACATTATTTTTTTGCCAAAATATTTTTTTATATTTTCATTTTCACACACTGCTTTGGCTAAAGTACTCTTGCCGAGGCCCGGCATACCCCATATAGAAATGACAGACAAAGCTTCCTCATTACTAGAGTCATCAGTTAACCAACCAACTATTTTATCCACATCTTTCTCTCGTCCAAAAGGTTTTGATGGATCAGTAGGAGCCAGAAAAGAGTTGGTATATTGGTTTCCTATGGGCATGGGAACTCTACTGTTGGAAATTTTGTATTGCAGCCCCATACGAGTGGCCCAATCACAAATATCAGCAAGATGTATATTCAGATTCTTAACTTTATTAGACATCCTAACTCGAAACACAAGAGGATGATGACTAGAAGGAGTAAACAAGTAGCTGACCTTTTTCCAATTTGATTTCAGAAATGCTACCTGACGCCTCAGGTTATGGTAGGCGACGTCTTCCAGCACATCGTCAGCCTTATCAGCAACAGCCTGAAATACTACCCGACGCCTCAGATTATGGTAGGCGACCTCTTCCAGCATATCGTCAGCCTTATCAACAATAGCTTGAAGCTCCTCAAGCCAAGCTCGAAGATGAAAATGGCCAGTGATGTGCTTTTCGTCCGCATCTTGCAACACGCCTCCGAGCATCGACATTATGAGACGGAACCTTTTGAGATCGTCCTTCCATCCCCAAACTAGATTGATCTGCTCCGAAGCAGCAACAATCACCCTGGATACAGTGGCATCAGCGACAGGACCGAGGATAAGCTCAGCCGCCATCTAATTAGCTACAGAAGTTTGGAGAAAAGAGAATTACTTGGGAATTGAAGGCTATGGAAAAGAGTGTGTTTTGGTGAATGTGTCTGGTGGATCAACGCTTCCCTTATATAGAGCTAGGCATGCAGTGCCAGTGCGGAATCAATTCATTCTGTTGTCTACTTGTATTTCTTTGTATTTCATGAGTTTTTTTTTTTTTTTTTTCCTTAAAAGCATTATGAAATACTTTCAATACGGTAGGTATTGTATGTATTCTTCTACCAACTCTCCATGGGAATTAAGGATCACAAAAAGAGCTTTATCACATCCAATTTTGTCGATGACAGCTAATTTTGGGGCATGAGGAAAGATGAGGAAGACTGCGAATCATACATAAATTAAAAGTTACGAAAATTAAATTTGCTTAGAATTGTATGATTTTGAATTTGATGTATTTGTTTCGGTTGGCATGTTACGACTCAATAATAATTGGTACCATAGAAAATCACTTCTCTTGAAAGAGCGAGTCCATGACTTGACCTCCTCTGTCCCACAATCTGAAATGGATTTTTTTGTAGATTTTTTTCTAGCCAAAATGGCCCATTATAATGTAGGATAATTTGTCCAATTAAACCTCTGCATCACTGCTTACGTTTTCAATTTGTGTGTGATAATTTTCAGATGCATCATAATGTAAATTAAATAAAATTCATAAATGATTCAAAATTAATCCCAATCCAAGGACAATAATCTACTTTGTCTTCATCTGTAATGTAGCCTCCACTCTAAATAATAGCTACATCCACCGTCTGAAAACAAAAGCAACCACATTCAGAGAGAGAAATTTCTTGTCCATGCCACAGGAGTATATATGAGACCCACATAGCAGATTTTTTTTTTTTTTTTCACCCATCGAAGTATATATGTGACGCACATGTTAGATTTTTTCTCCCTTACATTCTCCGATTAAGATTCTGTTCGGTATAGCGATTTTACGGTAGCGATTAGCGGTTTTACTTAAACTGCTAAATATAGGTGTTTGGTAAATTTATATATTTTGAAACCGCTATAAATAAAGTGTTTGGTAAAATTTTTATTTAGCGGTTTGAGACTAGCGGATAGCGGTTAGAGTTCAAACCGCTAACGGATTGAAAAAGTTAATTTATGTAACTTTTTGTACCAAACCACTAACGGATTAAAATTTTTTAATTTTATTTACAAATTTATTCATTTTAATTTTTTAATTTGTGGTCACATTTTTTAATTAATAATTATCTAATAAATTTCAATTTTGTTTT